CCAACTTTTCACAAAATACCTAAATAAAAACCTAGAAACCATCAGTCACTAAAAATTGATAACCTACTACTAGAATCTGAGAAGAATTTTTACCAAGTATAAGGCAGATGCAGCTGAATTGAGAAAAATAACTAGTGACTTAACCATGTTTCACTTCCCTTCCCCAAAATAAAGCAGTTCCCCTTGGCCTGAAAGAAGATGGGAAGGCATTGTTCTGGAAGCGGTCCCCAGAGGGCAGTGTTCCTTTCTCTACTGTCTGAGCTCTCAGAGACCCAGGATCTGTACTAACGAGAAAATTAACCAGTTCACCTTCTACTGAATGGCAGCTGTTTTTGAAGTATTCTCTTTCATCTTGTGGGAGACAGTCACTGCAAATAAAATGCCATATGATGGTGGAGGGTGGGGGGTGTTGTAAGTAACTACTACTATTGACATTATATGAGCACAGTGGTAAAGATTTTACTGGCGTTAATTCATTTCATTCTCCTAACAATCCCACAAGGTTGGGAAATGAAGAAAAATGAAGTGCAGAAATTGACTTGCCCTGAGATGCACAAGTAAAAAAGTAGCACAGCCGAAATTAGACTCCTAACAGCCTCAGAACAAAGGTAAAAAAACTCAAGAATAATCCCAACAGTCTAATTTTTTTTGAGACAGGGTTTTGCTTTGCTCCTCAGGTTATGGCACAATCATAGCTCAGTTCAGCCTTGAACGCCAGGGCTCAAGGGATCCTGCTACCTCAGCCTCCTGAGTAGCTGGGACTATAGGTACATGCCAGCATGCAGGCTAATTTTTTTTCCTTTTGTAGAGATGAGATCTTGCTATGTTGTCCAGGCTGGTCTCAGACTCCTGGCTTCAAGCAGTTCTCCCACCTTGACCTCCCAAAGTGCTGGAATTACAGGTGTGAGCCACCATGCCCAGGCTCTAACATTCTAATTTTAAAGCCTAACCTTTTAATCACCTAACTGTAGTTAATTAAAAAACCCTAGTAGCTGTGTATGCTGAGAATTGAGATTCTTGTACTTTAATTATAATTTTTATTTGTATTTTACTATACTTGATCCACTCAACAAATATTTCTTACCGTGTGCTGCTGGTACTGCGGACATAATGATCAACCAGACCCACAGACACATATCTATACATAGGGATCCAGAATCCACTGATACCTAATTGGGGATAGAATATTCCATTTCAGCCTAGCAGGAGTACACTAGATCTGTGCCTACATGCTAGATGCTGAGAATCAGCCTAGTAACTAAATATTAATACATAAGTTTGCTCCCCTTTTGTATATCTAACCAAGGAGATTCAACAGGACATAAGTGGACCACGAGAGAGCTCAAGGACAACCCCAAAGTCTTGTCTATTGGCAAACACTGCAGTCCAAGTAAAGGAGAGAAGCACCCTAAAAACCCAGAGAGAATGTTTTAATACATCTGATAATTGCTCATGCATGCAACATTTTAGAAATCTTATGCTTAGTATCTTCATAAGATACAAGAAGAAAGAGCATCATTGAAACTGGATCAGAAAAACAGATAGGCAAAATAGGTTTGAATGAAATTTATGAAACAAAGAAGAATGAGTTAACACAGTTCAACTGTCATTTCCTCAGGGTTGTCGCTCCTGAATGTATCCACAGTAGCCCTGTATTTTTGGTCACTTTTTGTTAAAACATCCTGCTTCATTTTCTTTATGATACAGTATAATAAATTTATCTTACTAATTTATTTGTTTGCTTGTATACTGCCTGTCTTTCTAGAATGTAAGGTTCATGAGAATATGAATATTGTTGAATTTTTAACTGTCTGCCCTCGGTACCAGGAATGGTGTCTACCACAAAGTAGAAGCTCAACAAACATTTACTCAGTGAATGAATACATAGACAACAGCAGAGATGGATAACACATGGAAGAGTTTCAAGATAACTCAAATTATAATAGCAGAATTTAAATCCACGCTGGAGTTAAAGATTTTTTTTAATGCAAGAGCTCAGAATCAACAAATCAATGGAAAAGAACACAGACCAGAAATGGGCCAACACTTATTTTTTAAACAATGGTGCCAAAGTGATCCCATGGAAAAGAAGAAGTTTTTAATAAGTAATAAATATTTTATTTAAAAAATGAACCTCAATGGCTATCAAGATGGATCACAGAGCGAAATGTAAAAGCTAAAACCAGAAAGCTTTTAGAGGAGAAAACAGTACAATATATTCTTGATTTCTGGGTAGGCAAAGGTTTCCTTGATCACTAGTAGCAAAAGTTTTAAATTTAAAAATTGAAAAGTTAGACTTCATCAAAGCTAAAAACATCTTCTCATCAAAAGACACCATGAAAAAATGAATAAGCAAGCTGCAAATTGGGTGAAAATATCGACAATACATATATCTAACCAGGGACTAGTATCCAGGGTATACAAAGAACTCCTTCCACTCAACAATAAAAGACAAGCAATCCTATTAAAAGTGGGCAAAAAATTGGACAGCTCACAAAAGAAGATAGCCAAATGGTAAGTAGCATATAAAAAAAGAGTATAACATTTTCAGTCATAAGGGAAATGAAAATTAAAGCCACAATAGAATATTATATACTTACCAGAATGACTAAAATTAAAATCAGTGATGGTATTAAATACTGGTAAGACTGTGAAACAGTTAAAACTTTCATAGTTACTTGATAGAAGTATACAATGGTATAGCCATTTTGGAAAAACATATATCTGGAAGTTCTTATAAAATTAAACATATACTGACCTGTTAATCAAGTAATACTAGGTATTAGCCCAAGAGAAATCATAGCATATGTTCATAAAAATACTTATACAAAAATGTTCATAGAAGCTTTATTCATATAGCCCCAAACTGGAAATAGCCAAAGCATTGATCAAGAAGAGAATGGATAAACTGTGGTATAATCATATAATAAAATGTTACTCAGTAATTAAAAAGATCAATGTACCTAACCTGGACAAACATCAAATGCATTATGGTGGTTGAAAGAAGCCTTCTCTAAAAGAGTACATACAGTATAATTGAATTTACATGAAATTCTAGAACTGGTGAAACTAATCTATGGTGAAAAAAATCAGAACAGTGATTGTGTGTGGGGGTATCAGTGGTATCCTGGGGACAGAGCACAAGGGAACCTTCTTGGGTGATAATATATCAAGACATTTTTTCTTATAGAGAAGTAACAAAATTGTTGTTTTAAGCTAATATATTTTGGGGCATTTTGATATACAAGATAAGATTATCAAAACAAAAAGATTATGCCTAACCAAATGTTATGAATACATATATTCATTATAAAAAAGCACTTGTATAAATTAAAAAATTTGCTAAGATAATGTAACTAAAAATCTACAATACATGAACAAAAGCCAGGAAACTATAGGGAAAGTGCATACTCCAATTCTTTTTAATAGAGTAAGAAATTAAAAGATAATGGCTCATTTTTGTCTTTATTAACTAGAGAAATATTGATTAAAAAATGCTTTTGTGAAAAAATGAGAATAAATAATTTTCACTTCATGTAAGGAGTAAAAGAAACCAAGCAAAATATAGTCCATATAGTAAAATTCAGAAAAAGCAAAGCATAAGAAAGTAAAAGCTCAGCTAGCATAAGATAAAATAATAGATGTAAAACAAAATCCCTCATTAAAAGCAGAGTCTCAGATTAGACAAAAATTATATTCAGAGCAGTGAGATTATATCAGTTAGAAAAAAGAAATCTCCCAACAACAAAAAAGAAACCAGGAGCAGATGGATTCACAGTTGAATTGTACCAAACATACAAAGTACTAATACCAATCCTCCTGAAACTCTTCCAAAAAATTGAAGAGGGGATTCTCCCTAACATTTTCTACAAGGCCAGTATCATCCTGATATCAAAGCCAGACAAGGACACAACAACAACAAAAAAAGAAAATTACAGACCAATATCCCTGATGACATAGACACAAAAATCTTCAACAAAATTCTAGCAAATCAAATCAAATAGCACATCAAAAAGATAATATACCATGATCAGGTGGGATTCATCTCAGGGATATGAGAATGGTTCAACATATGCAAATCAACAAGTGTGATAAAAAGCACAGACCATAAGATCATCTCAATACATGCAGAAAAAGCATTCACTAAAATTCAGCATCCCTTCATGATAAAAATCCTCAACAAATCAGACATAGATGGAACATACCTCAACATAATAAAAGCCATATTCAACAAATTCATAGCCAACATCATACTTTATGGAGAAAAGTTGAAAGCATTCCCTCTAAGAACAGGAACAAGACAAGGATAGCCAAATGCAGAATGAAATGGGACACATACTTCTCACAAAAGATAAAAATTAACTCAAGTTTGATTAAAGACCTAAATGTAAGACCTCAAACTATAAAAATCTTAGACAAACGCCTAGGAAAAACTCTTTTGGACATTAGGATAGGCAAAGAATTTATGACCAAGCTCTCAAAAGCAAAGGCAACAAAAACAAAAATAGATAAGTGGGACTTAAGCTAAAAAGTTTCTATACAGCAAAAGAAACAATCAACAGGGTAAACAAACCACAGAATGGGAAAAAAATTTTCAAATTATGCATCTGACAAAAGGCTAACATGCAGAATCCATAAGAAACTCAAAGAATTCAATAATAAAAACAAATAACCTCATTAAAAAGTAGGCAAAGGACATGTAAATGAGCAACAAATACATGAAAAAAATACTCAACATCAGTAATCATCAGATAAATTCAAATTAAAACCACAATGAGATACCATTTTACACCAGTTAGAATAGCTATTATTAAAAAGTCAAAAAACAACAGATATTGGCAAGGAGGTAGAGAAAATGCAATACTTATACACTGTTAATAAGAATTGGTAAATTTTTATGGAAAACAGTTTGAAAATTTCTCAAAGAACTAAAAATAGAACTACCATTCAATCCAGCAATCCTACCACTGGGCATAGACCCAAAGGGAAAGAAATAATTATATCATAAAGATACCTACTCCCATATGCTTATCACAGCACTATTCACAATATCAAAGATATGGAATCAACCTAAATGTCTATCAATGTAGGACTGGGTAAAGAAAATGTCATTGAAAGACCCTGGGTGAGGAATTTGTGGCTTTAGCAGATTGAGATCATGGCAGGTCCAGAAGCTGATGAACAATTTCAGTTCACTGGTATTAAAAAATATTTCAACTCTTATAGTCTCACAGGTAGAAGGAATTGTGTACTGGCCACACACGGAGGCATTGCTTTGATTATCTTATATTTCAATTTAAGGTCCAAAAACACTCCAGCTGTGAAAGCAACATAAATGGATTTTAAACTGTCTCTGGTTCTTAACCTCATCTGTTAAGTTCCATGCCTGGAGAAGCTAATCCCAACTCATCATGTGATAATACAATTTGTACAATAAATTATGAACCTGGAAAAAAAAGAAAATATGAGATACATATATATCTCCACATAACTGAATACTATTCGGCCATAAAAAAGAATGAAATTATGTCTTTTGCAGTAACATAGATGTAACTGGAGGTCATTCTCCTAACAAATAATTCAGAAACAGAAAAGGCAAATACAGTGTGTTCTCAGTTATAAGTTGGAGCTAAAGAATGGGTATACATGGACATACAGTGCAGATTAATAGACATGCGAGGCTACAAAAGGTAGGAGGTTGGGAGAGGGTGAGGACTGGAAAATTACCTTTTAGATACAATGTTCACTATTAGGGTGCTGGGTACACTAAAAGCTGACTCACCACTACATAATATATCCATGTAAGAAATCTGTACTTGTACTTTCTAAATATATTTTTAATTTAAAAAATAAAAAATATATATTTAGATGCATGTAGTTTACAAAAAATATGCCTAAAACAAAATGACCCAGAAGTAAAAAATAAAATAAAAAGATGAGTGGAGAATTATCACTTCAAAATATATCCTTAAGAGGATTTATCTAAAACCTCAGTAGAGGCTATGTCCCCTCTCAAATGCTCTTATGGCATCCTGTATTTTCTCCTTACAGAATTTATCCCAACTGTTACTATATTCTGGTTTGCATGATTTTTTTGGTCTGCCTCCACACTCTAAGCTCTTTAAGGCAGAAATAAGTCTGCTTTGCTTACTGCCTTATTTTCAGTGCCCAGCACAATGCTTAGAAATAGGAAATAATCACTGAATGAATGCATTCTAGAAAAGAAGTAAAATAAAAGAGCAAGCACAAATAACAACATTAATTTCAAACTAAGTCGATTCCAAGGTCAAATTAATCAAATGAAAGAGTAATTTTAAATCTGTAAAAGAAACGCCTCATGGTCTTGGACCTGTTTCTGTATATAATATAAAATAAAAAATGTATAAAACAAGAAATATAAACCATTCAAGGAGAGAGATTGATGATAGACTAAAAATATGTTTAACTTCCTTCCTGACAAATATCATGAAATTACCAAAAATGCTAATATCTGATACATCCAGATCAACAGTGGAAAATAGAAAGGATTGGCCAGTAGTTTCAACTACTGGTAAAGAAGACCTCACGATATTATCACTGCCTTCATAACAACAAGAAAAAAAATGATAAAGTAAAAATCATTCTTGATTTTAAAGCTGTCAAAGAGCGAGTGGGGGACAAAGGGAAGTCTAAACAAATAAAATTCCAGTCAAGAGAAGCTTTTCATAGACCAATAAAGGGCAGTGACTGCTTCCATACCTGGGACCAAGTGTTTACATAGTGGAGAGAAGAACCTGCTATCAGAGAGCAACTCCTAAAAGGAGAAAAACTAGCAATTTTTCAAATGATAGTGAGGGTTGGCAAACAGATTGGTATCTGGAAGAGCCACAAATACAAAAGTAAATTTCTCAGCTTGAATATTGTCTGCCACAGGAATTTTGCTGTGAAATTGATGATGAGTGCAGGGCCAGAAAACGGAAATCTTACACTCTTGCACATGAGTAAGGTTCCAGGCCCTGCTGGACTTGATGTCAAAGAGAACTAAAATGAACTATAGTTGCTCCCAGTTCAAATCCTGATTGTGACCAGTCACTCAATGCAGCCTGGGTGGTCGGTTGAAGGGCAAAGGAAAATCTTCATAATCTCTTTTGAAAGCAGAAATAAATTGAAACTAATAAAAAGCTTCAGCCAATGAAGCAGAAAAATGAGACCTATAATCAAGAGAAGAAACAATCAGTACAGGCAGACTTACAGATGTTAGAATTAAAGACCAGGAATCCAAAATCACAATTATAAAGAATTATATGTTAAAAACATATAGAAGAAATTTTAGAATATATAGAAATATTTATAGAAGAAAAGGTAGATATAATTAATAACAGTTGGTAAGTTTCTGCAGAGAAATGAAACCTTAAAAAAGTACCAAGTCAAAATTTATAAAACTGAAAAATGTCAGAGTGTCAGAGAATTGTGGGCCAATATCATTTGATTCAACATATATATAGCTGCGTCCAGAAAGAGAGAGAATAGGAAAAAATAGGTATTTGAAAAGATATTAGCCAAGTATTTTCTGAAATCAGTGAAAGTTATCAACTCTTAGATCTAAGAAACTCAGTGAACCCCAAGCAGAAGAAACATAAAATAAAACACATTTATGTACATCATAGTCAAATGACTGAAAAATGAAGATCTAAAAGGAAATGTTAAAAACAGTAAGGAACAAAAACATTACATTTAGGAAAACAACAAAAATGATGGCAGAATTTCCACTAGTAACAATGGAAGCCAAAAGACAGTGATATCTTAAAAGGGCTGAAAGAAAGAAAAAATTGTCAGTCCAAATGATAAGGTAGTTAGCTTTAAGCAATAAGTTACCACTGATTTTGATTTCTTCTAAATACTTTTACATTTTCTATAACAATTTCATTGTTATTATAATTTAAAAACATTTTTATTTTTGTTATTATTATTATTATTTTTTTTTACACAGGGCCTTGCTCTGTCACCCAGGCTCAAGTACAGTGGCATGATCACGGCTCACTGCAGCCTTGAACTCCTGGGCGCAAGCAATCCTCCCACCTCAGCCTCCCAAGTAGTTAGGACTATAAGTCCTAACCACCATGCCTGGTTAACTTTTGTATTTTGTATTTTATAGAGATGGTGCTTCACCATGTTGCCCAGGCTGGCCTTGAACCCTCGGGCTCAAGTGATCCACCCACCTTGGCCTTCCAAAGTGCTGAGACTGTAGGCATGAGCCACTGTGCCTGGCAAAAAGATTCTTTTTTTTTTTTTTGAGATGGAGTTTTGCTCTTGTTGCCCAGGCTGGAATGCAATGGCTCTATCTTGGCTTACTGCAACCTCTGCCTTCTGGATTCAAGTGATTCTCTTGCCTCAGCCTCCCAAGTAGCTGGGATTACAGGCATGTGCCTCCATGCCTGGCTAATTTTGTATTTTTAGTAGAGACAGGGTTTCTCTATGTTGGTCAGGCTGGTCTCGAACTCCCAATCTCAGGTCATCCATCTGTCTTGGCCTCCCCAAGTGCTGGGATTACAGGTGTGAGCCACCACACCCGGCCAGCAAAAGCATTTTTAAAAGAACAAGTAAGACAAATATTGCATATGGGTTATACTGAATATACAAGAATCCTCAGAACACTATCTGACAAATTTTTATCCTCATACCAAATATCTAAATGATTCCTACTATTTTTACTAGTCTTTGTAAAATATTTATATATGAAGATTATCTAAAATAACAGAGTTTTTATGTGACAGTAGCCCTTTCATAAAGAGATTAAAAGTAAGAAACAATCACATCTATTGGGGTAGGTGAGAAAACACTAATGAAAGAGGTGAAAGTTGAGGTTTATTAGAAAATAAGGAAATGAAGAAAAGTTTCAGAATGAAAATTTAAAGACATTTGAGAAATGCAAATAAATCTAGGTTTTTTCATGGAGGGATAGAGTGAGAAATTGATGTCAATAGTGGAGAATCTTGAAGGCTCTAATTTGTAGGCAATGGTGAAAGAAATGTTTACCTAATCTAACATGTTTTCAGTAAAGAAGAATTTACAAATAAGAACAATTCTATGTCTACTGGTGTGCTACATTTGGCTTTCTAATTGTCAGCTTGGTATTCCTTGTACTGTAAATTAACATGAGTGGATATTTATCATCTGGACAATCACTAGATCATTGTCTGACAGTAACTGAATCTGAAAAAATTATTTTGGTAGGTAAAAGGATGTGTAAGTGGAACTCTTCCTGAATTTATAACTGAGAACAGCTGGTACTACATTCTAAAGGTAGGTGCTAAGCCATTTAGCTTATCTGTTCAGGACTTGGAAAGAAAATGCCCCAAACTAACTCTGCCTCCTCCAAGATGAGCTGCTCATTGTTCATCTCTGAATTGTCTAAGAAAAGGGTAACAGTTTATGAGCAAGTCTTATATGGAAGATTTCTTAGCTAGGGTTTCTTAAAGCTTCCTTCTACAGAACTACTTGGAGAACCTGTTATGTATTTCCCCAGGATGTGAGATGGTAGCAGACACTGGTAGCTGACTCATGCCTAAACATTCTTAAGGTTAGTGGACAGAAGGAAGAGAGTGCTACATTGAGGGGACCTGTGTTTGTACAATTTAATAAGCAAAGACTCATTAAATTGAGTGAGTTTTCCCCTGACACAAAAAGACTCATGAAAAATAATCAGTCCATGGAAGCAACCCAACTATTCACTAATGTATAAATGGAAAAACAAAATGTCGTATATAATTACAACGGAATATTATTCAGCCTTAAAAATGAGGGAAATTCTTTCACATGCTACAACATTAATGAACCTGAAATACATGCCAAGGGAAATAAGCCAGTCACACAAGGACAAATATTGCATGATTCTATTTATATGAGGCAGCTACAGTAGTCAAATTCATAGACAAAACTAGAATGGTGGTTGCCACAGGCTGAGAGGAGGGAATGGGGATTTAGTGTCTCATGGGTACAGAGTTTCAATTTGGGAAGATGAAAAAGTTCTGTAGATGGATAGTGGTGATGGTTGCACAACAGTGTGAATGTACTTAGTACTGTACACTTCAAAATGGTTAAAATGATAAATTTCATGTGTTTATTTTATTACTATTAAAAAATAATAATAATAACCTTCACCAAGAGGACTGCCTAGAGAAGTGAGCGGACCTTCACAGAGGGAGGGTCAGGATGGGCCACTGGAAGCCAGGAATGAGAATGGATAATAAGCTGCCAGTCAGGAGAGGAAAACCACAAGTAATGCTAACAGGAGATTCCCAGCCAGGCAGTTCTCTGAAGAATTTATGACAGCGGCTCATTACAAAAAGAAAATGTTGGTGTCTGACACAGATGGCCCTGAAATCAGGTTAGGAAATCATAAGACTTCGCCCTTTCATCCTAGCTGCCTCTTGAGTCCTGTATCTGAGTTGGGAGATGAGATGAAGTGAGGAAGAGTAAAGAAG